GGGGGGGGGCACACCACCGTCCTCAACAGGGATCGCGGGATAGGAGACAGAGCCACGGGCGTCCACCTTTGAATGAACTTCCAGGGGTTCGCTAAGCCGGGACAGGCTTCCACTTCCGTTCCTGTTTTCTTTTCCGTTTTCCGGGGTCGTGAAGAAGCTAGAGATTCCCAACCTTCTTTTTCGAAGCCTTGGCAACCTGACGTCTGCAGAAACCGACAAGGATTCCACCGATTGGTCCGCACCTGCCCCGGCCCGGCATTGCGGACTGCGGCAGCGTGGCACGCACTTGGCAAAGTGTTTTGTGCAATTGAAGTTGCAGCACTTGTGCATCTTTTGAGATCTGGGCTTCAATCTAGAGTTTTTTTTTCCCATGAAGGATTTTCTCATACGCTTCATACACTACACATGTACAACAACGCTGAAAACTAATTAGCCCTAAGCCTATAAGCTGTTGGTTGCGGAGAATTGAGATCGGACCTGCCGATTGACTATCAGACGGGTTCGTGGGTCTGTGCAATTTCGTCGAATTTCACGTTCCTGGAAAATCGACAAAAAAACCCCAAATTGACGTTTCAAAAGAAAACAATATTCCCGAACGATATTTCCACTCATGACTAAGTCTAGTAGTGTAGTTTAGTCTACGCATCTTTTGCCACAAGCTGCATGTCTCTCAACGGTCAGGGCATCACGGAATAAAGTTGCGTGGTTTAAATTATTTTCACCCATCATATACCGAGCCATTTCCAGAAGAAGAAGCAGGATTCTCGAGTGAGACATTATACGTAGCCGCCGTGGGTTGCCATGTTGTTGTGTGTGGACTTGGACTCGTGGTAGGTATTATACGCATTCTATAGCCTCCATTCTATGCATATGGACATGTCAGGTCAAAGTGTTGACGAATGCTGGGTCCCACGAGTCCCTGGAACGGACAGCCACATCATCGTGCATGATGAAACACTGCATCACCGCCGCCCGCTGGCGACCGCCGCGATCGCAACCAACCCTGGCACTCGAGGCAGCATCGGGTGTGGTACATGCCGATGCCGTATTGTGTTTTTGCATGACGGTTTTTTGTAAACATTGATGATGGAGAATTGTCTCAAGAGGCATCTCGCTTGATGTCTGGATTTACATTCGTAAAAGGAGGTGATGATCCCGTCATAGAGCATAGGGGACGAGCTTGGAGTTTCAGTTGGTCTTCTTCACTGGATGACAGGTGAACCAAACAACCCTAACCCTTGGCAGAAAACCGTGCCTTGCCCCAAATCCGAAAGACATTGGTCCCGCGTTCTAGACTTATATGTCAACTTGAATGTTGACTGAACCTTGAAGAGTATGAATACTTGGTGATTATTCTGAATGGCAATGACCATGTCAACTGGAAGCTCTTCCATTCCAGATGGCACTTCCAAAACTCGAAGCAGTCTCGCAATCCAGGCCGAGCCACAACCACGGTCATCTTCACGCATACCCATATCCTCACGCAAAAACGCCAGTCATAGGAACCATTCATTGTGGAAGGAAAGTCGCCTTGTTTGCTCACGCTTGAGCATGCATGTCAGAAACGACCCATTGTCGTTGGTATACCTGACAAGAATCCCGCCTCCTACACATCCATCTCTCGCCTCCGCTCCCTCCCGCCTCACACATTGCCTTCTTTTCCCCTTGCCTACCAAGCACAGATAACACCAACTCCAGAACAAGCCCACAAAAGAAAAACCAATGGATTTAGTAGAAAGACTCGACCATGGTATCCTTGAGGCTGGAGTTGATCTGGCCAGGCGCGGCACCCTCTCCTAACCTGAACACGCTCTCGATAACACTAAGCTCGGGCGCCGTAGTATCGAGACCAGTGACGGCCATCCAGTCGTTGACCACCATGCCGCCGCCAATGACGTTGGAACCTCTGTTGACGGAGCCGGCCACCAGCGGTACCTGGAGCAGGGAGCTGAGCTCGTCCTGGTCCTGGATGGATGTCTTGGGGTGGACGAGGCCACCCTGGTTGCTGAGCGCCATGTAGCTACCGACGAGCACGTTGTCGGCAATGGTCTGGCGGAACACCTCGACGCCGAGCACGTCGGCAATGATCTCTTCGGTCTCGCGCTCCAGATCCGGGTGGATCAGCGCCGTGTGGTCGTTGCACACAATCACGTTGCCCAGGGCCGACAGGCGCTCCTCGATACGTTGTATGCGCACGTCGTCGGGCAGACTGTTGCGCAGATGTTGCAGTTCCTGGTCGCTTGTGGTAGTGGGGACGAGGAGACCTTTGCGGTTACTGTGATTTTTTTTTTTCCGTGGTTAGCTTACCAATGTCTCACATCCAAATTCTCGGTTGCGCCCCCTCCAAAACTTGGGACTAAAAGTTCAATAAAATGGGAGAGGGAAGAAGCGCATACCCAGCTGTCAGGCGACCGATAATTCTTGTGCCGGCAATGGTGGTTCTGCAGATAGGGATAACATCTTGGAGTTCGGCCTCGAAGACGCTGTAAAAGTTCTCGCTGGCACCGACGGCGACCAAAGCGTAAGAGTTTGTTAGTGTGGAAAAGACTCCAACCCTGTGAGAAAACAGACAATGTTAGCGCGTCTGCTACTTGATATCCCGTAGAACCACCCTCTGCTCCCCATTCAGATTTAAGAGTCGCCCTGCTGTCGCGGTGTCGAAGCATGGTATTGATGTCGTTGTCGGTGGCAGGCGGGGCAGATTTTTGATTTTCGCATCGCAATTCCCCATCTCGGGACGTGGAGGCCAAGCAAAACTTACTCGTTGGAGTTCTCGAACTGGGCGCGGACAGCCATGGCTTCGGTTCTTCTTGTGTAGTGCTGCTAGCGGGCTTCCTTTACTTGGTGGGTGAAGTGGTATTCCGAGAGAGACGGAGAGATTGGGGTTATGCGACTGAAGCAATGGAGATGGGAGGTATAGAATGCCGTTTTGCTGCTTTGCGAATGACGACTGGTGGGGTGGGCGATGGAAGGAAAATATAATCTGGATCCATTGAGACTCCAGGCTATGTGTAAAGTGGGGCGCTATCAAATCTGGAAGCTGGGCTGAAGACGGGAACCACACAGCTTTTGGCAGCAGGTACCAAGACCCTTACAGATGTATGTACCAGTACTTAGGTACCTTCAACAACAAGACATGGACGCATACATGCGGCTTACCAACCCAACCTCTCTACTCAAACATGTCCATTTTTGCCATCGAGAATTATGAGTTTGTCGAAATTCTAGTGCACTTGCATCGATACAATTTCATTTTCCATCACCGGTGACTCAGACACTTTAGAGCAATCCTCGTAAGGCTACGCGAGCAGTACCTAGCCACCCTCGGGATGGCAAAAGGCTTGCCACACAGCCCACTATGCTACAGCGACATGGAAGCTATCCTCTACCCGACCCTATTACCGCCTCCTTGAAGCTTGTTTGCCCAATCAGACTTGCAGTGGCTTTCCCATTTGGTATACTACAGCCATTTTCATTATGATTCATCATTGTTGCGATATGCAAGGTACCCAAAGGGGCTCACTTGCGGGGCGTAGAATAGATTGGGGCTTGTTTTCAACAGTTCAACTTTTGCAAAATGTAATGAAGTTGCTGTTGCAGTGTACTGTGTATAAGATCACAGGATCCTGGTGGTATAGATGCCAGAAGCCGAAACACCGGACAATTTATTTTGGCTTATCTTTTTTGTTGGACTCGTCCGCTCAGCTCATACTGAACCCTAACCCACAGAATCACAAACCTCTCCTTGTCAGCCCATGTAGCGACAGGACAACAATGAGAACACCCAAAGTGTTGCTAAGGCAACCCGGTTATCATCTTGGGTTATGAGCTAAGCAGAGGGAACGTATGGCTGGGGAAACATCTGGTTCAGTTGATGAGAAAGCGCACTTTGCCACAGTGCCGTGAGGTACCTCAATATAACCCGCTGATGCCAATCCCCATGACCGTTGAAAGCCATCATCCAAGTACCATGAAGCCGATGCCTTTAAACAAGATGCATTTATATCAAAACTCCAAACTCCCCTGCCCCCGGCTGACCGTCAAGCACTAGTCTCGTGAGACCAGTCTGTTTTAAGACGACTCGAACATTCATATTGCCGACCCCGTTTTGCCGGATGATGCATGCTTTACAAGAACTGATCACCTTCTTTGACTCAGTCTCATTGCAGTGTTTGGGCTGGAAATAGCTGCGGACCAGCAAAACCTTTCGCTACAACCCCCTGAATATCAATGTTTTTGAGAGGGTCAGGATGTGGACTCCACATCTTGAGCAGGATGTACCGCGCGCTCACCGGCGGGTCGAACTTGATGATACACTTGTTCTTGTCCTTCTCAATGTAAAATTGAGCCAGCGGAGACATAAGCGCTCCGCCAACGGCTCGTACCGCCTCCTGCGTGGCCACCTGCGAGGCTTCTCGCGCTCGTTCAAGTTCGGGGGTTGCCGTGTCGTATTCGTTACGCCAACTAGCAGAGGGTCGCGCACGAGTGAGATCAGTCCAGTCCAAACCGCTGGGGTTCCATGGGTCTCTTCCGTCATCACTACTGTCGCTTTCAAAAGGCAAAGCACCAATCCTGTTGAGGGTTCGCCTACGCCGCAAATGATTTTCGTCTCCTTCGCTTTCATCATCACTGCATTCGGTCGTGACATTGAACGGTTGGGATGCGGCCGAAAACTCGGGAGGTAGCGCGGCTGCTGCTTGATCTTCATCATCGTCCTCATCATCATCTATAGTGTTGATCAGATCTGATATGTAATCGCGTCGATATCTCGAGGGGTAGATCCGTCCATCATCGTCGTGTCGGACCGAGTAGATTGTTGGAGTGTCGCGTGATGTCCGTGGTTGTGGATTCGCTGGTTGCTCATACTGAATTTGATATTGCGCTGTACGTTTCAACAGGTCATCATGTTCCATCGAAACAAACACCATGCCCTCTCGGACCCTAGAGACCGGTCAGCAAGGCAATCGAAAGATAACCGAAACAGGACAACACATACGGCTGAGAGTAATGTGAACCAGGTGCTTTGATGACCAACTCTTTCAAGCTGAAGACAGTACCACCGTGATGTCGTAGTATGATGTTGCAGCGATTAGTCCTTGTGCAATAAACCGAAGCGTCGTCTTTCAGGATGTTCTCCGCCACATAGGCCCGTCCATCCCTGAACAAGCCACCATCACAGCTAACGATCTCCAAAAGAAGCGGACCTGGTTCCACCTGGCCGTATTTTCCATACAGAATATTTTTGTAACTTGGCGATACCTTGTCGGAATCCAGCTTCCGTCGCTTTGCGCGCCGAAAGTTTTCTAGTTCTTCCATATCCTCAGGAGGAGTGTTCCTACCGAAGAGCGAAGGCTGTGAAGAGCTGGACGAGTCTTGAAGCTCGCCAGGCGTCACGTAGCTGCGCTCCCTGGCAGGGTTCATATGAGTTCGGTGCCTCTCCATTGCCCGGTCAAAGGGCGAATAACGGGAAGGGCGGCCGTTCTGGCCTCCGGGCGCCGACATGCCGGGTCGCAGCCTTGAGCCAAGCGAACGAAGGGACGGAAGTAAGGGTGGTGTAGGGGCCGAAGAAGTTGAACTTGGAATGGCAGGCGGCAAAAAGCTGCTAGAGGGTTGAGAATCCTGGTTGAATCGCCGGCGAAGAGACCGGTCAGAGCCGGAGGACATCCTGGACCGAGCGAGCACCCTGGAGGCAGCCTGTTCGAGAGCTAGGTTGCGACTGATGCGGTCGTGAAATCTCTCTAGAGCCTCAAATCGTTCTCGGGATATCGCCGTGGGAGATCTCGGCGAAAGGGCATCGGGTTGGGCGTTGTTTTGGTGAGATTCCGAATCCCAGGGCGACCTTAGAGGTCGACTGTCGGACTAGGGTACAAGAGAAAGATGAATGTTAGTACTAAGGTGTAGTAATCGCAGGTAACAAGAGACCAGAAAATATGTCCCTGCAGTGAGGTGGTCTGGGTGTAAATCAGAAGCTTACAGCTTCGAACTGGGCTCATACGCCATATGTCGAGGCACCAGTGCGTGTCGAAGGCGCAGAGAAGCGGCAGGTTTGATAACGCGGCGATATGTTAGGTTTGGATGGGGGCCGTGGAAGCGCATATCAGAAAGGGCAACTTACCATGAAGCTTGAGGGCACAAAGACCAGGGGGGGCGCAGGCGGGGGGGTAAAAGGAAGAATAGAACCCGTCTGGGGCAAGACGGACCAGCCTCCGAAAGATAGGAGTAGCACAGTAGCGCTTGAAAAAAAGAGATGGTTCAAGTAAACAAAAATGTGCAGAAAAAGAAGGCGAAAGTCAAGGGTCAAATGTCAAATGTCAAAATGATCAAGGAGGAAAGAGTGTTGAAAGTGGAAAGGATTGTAGAGTGGCCGATCATCTTGTAGTGTACACACTAGACCCGGCCGTTGCACGGGACACCCTGAAACGAGAGGAGGAGTCAACCACGGGCGGGCAGCTGGGCGAGCCAACACCATCCATATCCATATCCACCGAGAACCTAGGTAGTCTGGCAGGGTAATAGGTACCTTGTCCTTCACTGACGTTGTGGAAGTGTAATTGTTAGCATGTACTTGACGAGGCGCCATAGTGACCTTGAGGTACAAGTACCACTTTAACTGGCGTCATGTGTCGGCATCGGGATCTACGATACGTACGCTCACTGAGTGTAACCCCAAGTTCCCATCCAAACCACAAAGGAAGTGCATTCCGTTCCCTTCTTCTTCTCGTTCCAAAGTTACCTTGGTTGTTGGATTTCAAACTTGATAACGGGTGGCGTTTGTAGGATCCATTGGATCCTTAGCGAAAACATTTCAGAAAGATCCAAGAAGCGCGAGTGTTTGCCGTTGTCCGATCTTACGTATTACTCAGTTTGTTAATGGAAATAGTCAAGTAGAACCGCCGAAATGCACAGGCCTCTTCCACCTACTTTTGCACCACGCGTCTCAACCTCAACACCAACCACCATCCTCAACTTGAGATCGAACGGCCAATAGTCCGGTATGCGCACTGATATCACTGGTCTCGACTAAAAACTCTGTACCCAATTCTAACTACTCTACCGTCAGGATCTAGAAAAGTCAACTCTTCGCCAAATTTCCAAGTTTAATTCTCGGTCCAGGAACCGAATCATTCGCTTGCCCGCGTTCCTTCACCTCTCACCTCAACCTCACCACCTTCAACCACAAGCGCAAATATCACTTGGCCCAAATAAACAAAGGGGTAGTTTTTGTCCCTAAACACAACAACTCAACTGCCACCTTTAGAGCCGTTGCCCATCATGACTACCACCGAGACCAACGGATCTGGTCAAGAGGCTTCCCATTCGGCTGCTGGCATCAGTGCAGGCAAGTGCTTAACCCTCCTTATATGTCAGGAGATAGGTTACGAAACTAACCCCCTCAACAGATGAGATCGCCCTCTATGACCGGCAAATTCGACTATGGGGCATGAAAGCCCAAGAAAAGATCCGCTCCGCCAACATCCTTCTCATCACCATGAAAGCCCTCGCCAACGAGATCGCCAAGAACCTCGTCCTGGCAGGCATCGGCTCCCTGACCATCAACGACCACGCCGTCGTCTCCGAAGCCGACCTGGGCGCGCAATTCTTCCTGTCCGCCGAGGACGGCCACCTCGGCCAGAACCGCGCCGTTGCCGCCAGTGCCTCCCTCCAGCGTCTCAACCCGCGCGTCAAAGTCATTGTCGACACGGACGACATCCGAACCAAGCACTCGTCCTTCTACTCGTCGTTCGACATCATCATCGCCACCGACCTCGACGCCGACACCCTCAACGTCATCAACACCGCCACCCGCATCCACGGCCGCAAGTTCTACGCCGCCGGCTCGCACGGTCTCTACGGCTTCCTCTTCGCCGACCTGATCGAGCACGACTTCATCATTGAGCGCCAGCGCTCCAATCTCTCCACCACCTTGGGTCCAGAGACCAAAACCCGCTCCATCGTCTCCGTCGCGCCCAAAGAACCCGACAACAAGGACTCCCACATCGAGCTCGTCACCAAACGCGAACTCTACTCCACCTGGCTCCTCGCCTCCTCCGACGCCTCCCACCTCCCCCAAGACATCCTCTCCTCCCCGCGCCGCAAACGCGCCGTCACCCCTATTCTCAGCTGCCTGCGTGCCCTCTGGCAGTTCACCTCTACGTTCGGCGTCCCGCCCACCGGGCCCGAACTCTTGACCAACCACACCGCTCTTGCGGCCTTTACGCAAATGTGCAGCGACAAACACAAAGCCCTCGGCTTGCCCGCGGAGACGTTGCGGGCCGAGTTGTTGCGGTCGTTCTTGCAGAACGTGGGCGCTGAGCTGGCTCCCGTGGCGGCGGTGTTGGGCGGGCAGCTGGCGCAGGACGTGATCAATGTGCTGGGACAGACGCAGCAGCCTATTCAGAACTTTGTGGTGTTTAGTGGGGAGAGCATGGAGGCGAATGTGTATGCGTTACATCCCCGCGAGGGAGAGCTGGGCAGGGGACTGTTGCCGGTGACGATGGGGGTGATTGATGCTGCGGCGGAGGTGTTGGAGAAGGAAGGACAGACGACGGATTTGATGGGGTTGGGTGGACAGCATCTTGGGGGCCAGCAGCAGCAGCAGCAGCCTTCGTCTCAGATGGAGGGTGTTGAGCAACAGCAGCAGCAGCAACAGCAGCAGCAGCAGCAGCAGCAAGCTAATGGTGTATCGACTGCACAATCCACGGGCGCTGGACAGCAGCAAGAGCACGAAGGTTCTGGTGCCGGTAACGCCTGACTTTCTCTTCACTTATCAAGTCGATTAGGTACCTATTCGCATTACTGGCTTACTTCCCCTTTTTTTTGTGGCTTGGCTTGGATCCGATCTGGGGTGTGCTTGGGAATCTAGAACGATGCGATGCAGGGCGTTCGTGTGGTAAACTGTAATTCAATGGCTTGCGGACAGACGAGAGAATACATGTATGATGAATGTAGCAACAACTTTTAGACAGACAGACTCATGTTTTCTGTGGATGAAGGGTCACATATCTGGCTGGCTAGGATGACTAGCTAGACTGGCGAAAATATGAACTTGGGTGTTAAGATGGAAACCCCTCTGCTTTATTCCTGCTGAAAGTAACGTGTGGCAATATTCACTCATGAGAATGTCATGGCAGTTACAGGAGTTCTGTGAGAGAGGGTGTGTACAAGATCACCACAATGTCGTGTAGAGAATCAAACCAGACTATGTGTGCAAAGCACACATGATGAATGCTGACTTGCACAAATCGCCAGTGTAATCCATTCATATTTCAATGTATGATGTATCTCAAAGCAACTAATTCTCAAATTTGTATTCCCTGGTTCTTGATCAAAACCTCAATAATGCTTTTATGCTGCCGAACTCCTGTCTTGTAGCAACCGAAAAAAAAGAAAACCAGAACCAAAACCAAAAGGTCAATCAAAGACATCAACTCCATCCTATCCAGCGCAATGTTGGTATATACGCTCCCCACGGTTATTCCCTTCCTTCCTCCCTCCGCTCTTTCTTTTGATATGCGTGAAGCAATGCAAACTAAAAATGCAATCTGTTATGTCGTAGTTTTGGTATTTGGTATATCCAGATGCCCTTTGTCATGGCTCTTTTGGCCTGCGACTCCTTCCTTTCTGATGAAGATTCTTGCTCTTCTTTCCATCTCCAAGATGGACTTTGTGTGGTGTAACCAACTAAACAACCAAACCAACTTTCTCGAGCTCATTCACTAAATCAATCCCCTCCTTTGCTCCTCATTCCCAAGCTCAACCAACTCCATCTCCCCCTTCGAATTCTCCTTGAACTCCAGCCGCGGTCCGCCCCTGTTCCTAAGCCGATAGCTGCTGTGGGCGGGTTGGCGCGGCTGTTCGTTCTCTTTCTTGATTCTAACCCTTTTAGGGCTGGGGCTTCCCTCTTCCTGCTTGATCTTCACTGCGGCTCTCTTCCTTTTAGCCGGGGTCTTGGATGGGGTTTTAGCTGGGCTGTTCTTTGCGGCTGTCGGGCTCTTGCGCTTGGCGGCTGTTGGGCTCTTAGCGGTAACAGGGCTGCTAATAGTGGCGACTGTTATTGTATCCATTATGATACCCTCCTGTTGCGACCTTTGCTGCGGCTTCCGTTGCTGAGAAGGCGACTGTGGCCGCAGCTGTGGCAGTTCCGCCGACGCCGACGATACATCTTTGCCCACTGACACTGGTGCTGCGTCCCGTTTCGATACAAACTTCACTCTCTTGGGACCATTACTGCTTCCTGAGTCCTCGGATGTGGATGCTCTCTTTCTCTTAGTGGAGCTGGAGCTAATGCTGGCCTCCGTTGCTGGGGTGAGAGCGGGACTAGGGGCCGCGATTTCAATTCCTTCTTTGACGAAGTCAGGGCCCTTATCGTCATTGTCGCCGTTGCTATCACTGGCACTGCTGGCACTGCTGGCACTGCTACTGGAAGTGGCACTTTGGGATCTGTTCCGATAAAACTTCTTCATGGCAGACGCGGAAATGACCAACAGGGACCTGTCGGCAGTCCTTACGACTCGAACGGGCTTGATAGACGCTTGGGAGTTGGTGGTAGAATTTTGTGGGATGTCGGCCGCATGAGGATCGAAGGCCCCTCGTGGGATGGGAGATGCTGGGAGAAGAGCGGGCCCCTCAGAAACAATAGCAGATTGTGAAGCAGCCGGCGGAGGAGCGGGCACTTGTGGCGCAATGGGCGACGGGGCAGGCGCCTGAAAAATCACAGGCGGCGGGAAAACAGCTGACATCTTGCTGACAGCCCTCGACGAAGACGAGCCAGCACGAGCACCGGCTGAGGACGGCTTAGCGACGGCAGGGACCTCTTTCTAGGAGGCTTCCTCGGTGGTGCTTGAGGTTGTTGCCGGTGCTAATGCCGACCCGTCTCCGTTGGTGGTGTTGTTTGTGGCCCCGTTGACGCCGTTGGTGGTGGCGGCGCCTTTGGATGAGGTCGGGCGGCTGCTGTTGGCCCCGGGGCCCTTCTTGAGGTTGTTATGGGTCCATCCCCGGATGTGAGTCGGTCCATGCCTAGGGGGCGGCTCAACCGGGGTGTAGTCCTTGATGGCCTCGCGGTAGTCGAACTGAACTGTTCGTAGCTCTTGGCCGTTGGCGGTGTAGCCGAGACGGTGAGGAGGCGTTGGGGCAGGCTCGAGTTTTCGGTATTTGTTAGAAGCGGCAGAGGCCCCGGAGGGAGGAGGTGGTCCAGACGGCGCCGAAGAACTTCCGGGACGTGAACGTCCGGGCGGTGGGCTGCCGGCGGTGGGCATCATCGATTGACCAGGCATCGGTGCCAGCGAGTGCGGTGGAGGTCCCGGCTGGAGCATAGGAGGTGCATGACCCGGGCCGGGCGTAGGCGAAGGAGAAGCCGCGGGGATATGTACGGGGCCTTGCATGGGACCTGGCGCCGGCGCAAGAGGAATCGGGCCGTTTTGGTAGGGTTGGGGCGGCATCGGATAATGATGCATCTGCATCCGAGACGGATGCGGTTCGGCGTGGCCGGGTGGAGGTTGAAGGGACATGCCTTGTAGATGATGCACAGCTGCTTGCATAGGTACTGGTGACTCTTGCGCCGAGTAACCATTGTGAAAGGGCCTGTTAGGCGCCGGAGGATAAAACGCACCGCTATTCGATACCACCATGCTAGGATGGGCCGAAGGCGGGAGAACCGGGCTGACCTGTCCATCAGGACCAGGTGTTCCGTGCATGGGTCGCAAAGCTGGAAGTCCTTTAGACGAAGCCGTGTTAGAAAAGGGCGTTCGGCCAGTGGCAGGACCCTGCATGGAGTAGTCCTGATATTGTCCAGGATGTGATTCAGGAGGCGGAGGATACGCAGAAGGATTAAGCGCTGTCCTCAGAAAATCGTTGGGCCTCGATCCGTCGTTGGGGTGAGGCTCTTGATGGGCATAGACACCATATCCTTCTGGCCGAGGATATTCCACATGGTGATAGTGCTGCGGTCTTTCGAAATCGTTATTTCGAGGCACACCGTTGTGCTGTGATTGTGGTGGCAGGAGTGACGGGTCGATCGGGGTACTCTCCTGATGAGCCTCCGAATAAGTGCGCGGTGGGCCGGACTGCATCCCCTGGTGGTGGTAAGGGTGCATTAGGTACCGCTGCTCTTGAGATTCTCTCTCGGCGACATCAGCAAGGTAGGACAAGCTGGTAGTATCAGCAAAGCCCGTGACTTGCGTCTCCTGAGTAGGGAGTTGAGCAGGTGGCTGCTGGGCGGGCGGTTGTGGGGCCGGCACAGGTGTCGAGTTGTCCATAAGTGCATCTCTGATAGCATCGAATGGCTTGGAGGCCTGCGAGCGGGATGCCGCCGCCGTCCGTTCGGCCTCCTCGTCAGCTGCAGCGGCTTGAAGGGCTCCTTGGACAAAGTCATCAAAGACCGTCGTGTTGACCGGCGAGGGAACGCGCGCGGGCGTGACTGATTGCGAGATCTGGGACTCGATGTCTTGGTCGGGATCGAGACCCCTCAACTCAAGCTCTTGCCTTCTCTTCTGTTCGCGTTCCTCCTTGCTCGGTGCAAGTTCCTTTTCGGGAATGCCTTCCTGTTCGCAAAACTTACGCAAAGCATTCATCAGGTCAAACTTCCTTCCTTGAGCATCCAGCCTAGCTGCCTTGATGGTCCGCGAGGCATGAACTTGTTGCCCCCTTGGGTCGACCAAGACTACAGGCTTCCAACCAGAAACATGAGGCATGGGGGGCTGATCGACGTTGGTGGACGACGACAGAGGAATGCCCATCTTGGGATGGAGGCCATACTGTTTGACAATCTCCTCGTCCAATTCGCCCTCAACCTGGGTAGAATCCCAGTTTGACACGCGGCGATCGACATAAAAGTAGTTGGAGTTAGGCGTCATGTAAAATCTGCCACGCTTGGCTTTGGTGGCGCCCTTGACGGGATCGTTGGTCGAGTCGCGGAAGCCGATCTCGTCGTCGTCGAATTCGAAAATGGGCGGTACCATGATGCGGTTGTTGTGAAACTCGGCACGCTTGTCTTTGCGCTGGATTAGGCGTACCCCGTACTCATCCGGTTCCTCAGCACCCTTGGGAAGAGGGGGATCCAGCAAACTGGGTTCGAACCTTCCGCCCTTGGATGGGGAGAAGGGAACTGGCGATGGAGCTTTTGAGCCGGGTTCCGGTGTGTTGCTTTTGCTTCCCGGAATAGTATCGGTGCCACCGAGAAGGCTGGATGTGTGGGCCTTGACCATCTTGGGGTTGGGTTCGCTCGCCAACTGGCCATCGGCCTTGCGCTTGGGTGAGAGCTGGGAGTGGACCTGATAGGCTTCGGTCATGAGCTCACTAAGCTTCTTGCCCGAGCATGGCAGTTCGTCGCCCTCCTCGTCGCGTTCGGCAAACCTGCCCTGTTCATCCATTTGCTTTTGTGAAATGTCCTTGTGGGTGTAATCTGTGGAAGGGGCAGGGGGCAGCTGTGTAACACTGTCAGTTTGTAGATACAAAAACAAAGGGGTAGCAAAATAGCTTACATCCAAGGGAAGTTTGTTATCGTGAAGAAACTCTAACCTCTCGACCTCGGCCAGCATTGAGGTGTACCATTCCTCACATAGTTCGGCCGTGAGTTGCTAAGAGGTGGATGTGGATTAGTGTTAAGCACTTTGGGGAGCGGTTGCAAAGTGAAGAAGGGGACGATCAGTGCTTACCGTTGTTGACCTGATAGTAGCTTCACGTTGCCCTTCGAAGACGTTCAGGGCCATGGCTTTCTCAAACTCCAGACGACGAGCGCTGGTGGCGATGGTGTCGTCACGGCGCTGGTTAAGGAAGGCCATGACTTCCTGGTACTCGGGCGCTTCCTCGACCATCTTGGGGTTTTCCATGAGAGCCTTTTTCTCACGGGAGCCAATTTCGTCAAGCACGGGCTTGGCCAAGCGGGCGAGTTGGCTGTAAGCCGAACGAAGTTCCATGTTGCGCTCGTAGGCGGCCTGGGCCCTGGTATACTGGTATGCCCGTTGACGACGGCCACGACCCGTGCCCGGCTTGGTCATGGCAGTTGAGGATTTGGCTACTGTGATCTTGGGGCCAGCCTTTGCAACTCGGCCCTTGCCTCTGGCACGACCACCTCGGCCCCTCCCGCGAGTGCCGCCTCTTGTGGAAGCTGGCTTGGGGATGAGGGCTGATGGGGCGGCAATATCGGCAGGCGCCTGCTGGACATGGTTGGAAGGGGTATCATTGGAGGAGAAAAAGGAAGAAGGGGTCATTGTGTTGGTGATGGGCTCATTCTGCGAGTCTGGGGTAGATTGACTGGTGTCTACCAGCTGCTGAGAGCTGCTGGCGTCGTCCATGATTCCATGGACTGGGGAGGCGGGCCAAGAAGGTAAGAAGAAAGTGAGCTGGTTAGTAGTGCCCTGGTGTTGATGCTGGTAATTGTGTGCTGAAAAGCGCGGCAACAAACAATCCGGACGATGGACGGCCACTACAAGAGGGAAGAGAAGAGGCCGATGTATGGTATCTGTGATTGCTGGTTTGTTTGGCGTGTGTATAAGAGGTTGTGGTGTTGTGGTGAGTTCCGGATGCTGGCCTCACTTTTCTGTAAGTAGGTAGCCCGGTACAGATCCTTTCTCCTTATACGCCCCGCGGGTATGTTGGTTGCTAGGTAGGGGTGCGAGCAGTGCTGCCAAGAAGACTGTGAGGTCGAGATAGACGCCCAGAAGAGGCCTCAACAGCAAAGATGTAGAAAAGAAATACCAGAGGGTAGATTGCTGATGTCGAAGAAAAGAGAAGGTTGTCCAAGAGGCAGCAAGAGGTGCAGCAGGGTGAGGGAAGAGTCGAGGTTGAGAAGTATGCGGTTTGGTGGTGGTGCTGCCTCTGGTGGAAAGGGTGAATAATGTTCACTACCTATGTAAAAGTACCCTGCCCAATTTTCGGGTCTGCAGGTTCGCAGGACAGCGGCAGTGAAGGGACGGAGTGAACAGACACTGGACGTCCTACCTATTGTGTCAGACCTTGACAATAGAATAGAATAGAATAACTGTCAGTCACCAACACACAGTCGGGTCCGTCGTCAACCTGAGTGAGGATGGGATGAGATGGAAGGACTGGCTCCTTTGGTTGAGGTGTTGCACATTGGATACTAGCAGTAGGTATCCAATGCTGGATGCCAGGTGAATACAGGTATGGATCCGTGCCTCACAGACCACATACGGGCACACACACAACAGGACCTCACAAGAACGAGGCCCGGGCAATAATCGTCTCGCTGGCCGGGCCTCCCATAGGTGTTTTTAGCCATTCAGCAGAGGGCAAATGGACCACTGCCCTGGCGCTGCAGAGCTTCACTTGCAGGGCTGGCCGGTGCACTAACGGACCTTGGACGCCCTGAGCACAGACCGGCTGCGTCCACGGCCTGGGATCCACCAAGGCCTACCCGGCGTGTTCAGCCAATCACGACCTTCCGTCTCCTGCCCAAAATGGAACTGGTCCCAGCGAGTCCAAGAAAAGTCTCCAACCTGGTCGCCGTCCGGCCATGGGATGTCAAGGTGAAGGCTTTTTTACACTACCATACACCACACTACAGACGACACCAATGTCAAGTAGGTAGAGGTGTCCATGGCACAACACAATAGCAGTGACTACTGGGCATACGGTCAATAAGAACTTTGAGAGTTGAATAGGTAGACTCGTAGTCCCCCTTCATTCTCGTGTTGACCAATAATGCACTTCCATTGAGCGCAATGATTAATCACCGCCTCGTGGTTTCAAATCTTTGCAAGTTTTAGTGACCCTGACGAGGAGGACCCACAGCTGGAATTTAACGTTGCCAAGACTCCGTCCTCACACGCCCGGTTCGTCGTGCATTTCGGAACCAGCACTTGTCGCGAGCATGGACCACACTTTGCCAGGTGTCCAGTCTCCCGCGTGCTTGAAGAATTGCAAATAAACCGTAGTTGGTGTGTTGGCCTCTAGTCGAATCACGGTTGGCTCGGTAGACAATGCTATTTCCAACCTGATCGGCCTTTTCCGTGTAATTTTGTCCCTGCCTGGTGCTGCTCAGGGGGGTGACGAGGGGATCTTGATCAAGATCTGATGTAATGTCTCAGGGCATCGTTGATAGCATCAACTATAAAGACGCGCTTTCAGAATCCAGAGAGGATAGCGGATGCCCAGCAACAAGAACCTAAGCTAGATAGTCGAACAGCGACGGAGGAAGCGGACATCAAGGAACATACACATGACCAGCTTGCCGTGATTACAAGATGATGGTCGGAGCCGACAAATTGATGACCCCCCTCTAAGAATTTTGCTGGGCTTCATCGATACTAGTCTAGGCTCACCGTGTTTACCTCATGTTGCTCATACCTTGAAATTCACCCTCAATGCAAGATGTCATCGTACCATTTGGACCTGCAGTAGGTACCATGCATACCGTATCTAGCGCACTTTTGGGACTGGTGCACTTCTGCTCATTGCCTGTTGCTTTACTTCCGCTGCAGTAAATACTGATTTTTTTCATACTTATCACGGCATCACCGAAGGCTTCAGAGCTGCATTGTTTTCATACATCAACATCCTCAGTTCCGGCTCGTCAGATTTCCAGCTTGTCAATAGGTGGCATCAAGCTCGCAGCTTCCCGTCCCCAAGGTAGAGAGTGAGGACCGGGCAGCTGACATGGGAGCCTCATATCATGCCAAACCATCTTCAAAATAACCAGAGTTACACTCAGGCGAGAAGGCGGAACGCTTCAATATAATGGAAAGGGGGTTCGAGTGAGGCTGGTCATTTAGGGCAAGGGCAGGCAGGTTGACCTCCCAGGCTTGATAACTGAGATGCCCACCGCATGCTGTGCATATTGACTTTTCTTCGCCTCCGTGCTCGTCCCAACTACCTAGCTCCCGTCCCTCGTTCCATAGGAACATAGAGATGAATAGGTGTTCTAGACTTCCATTTCAATCATGGATGATTCCCGATATCAGAAACTCTTGCGACTATTCCACCATACAATAATGTCGCGGCGGCAACGGCACACACAAGGTTCATAAAACAAACACACCACGGGCCGGGCGAGGTACAGCAACCGTTCGTTGTTGTCGCCCCCGTACCTCTCACGTGGGGCCAAGCGCAACCCGCCAGGTCCCGTCCCGGAGCCGCCTGCTAGGGTTCACCTGTGGGCTTTCTCTCAGTGGATAGAAATGGTGGGGCACAGGACTGGACACAGCGGGGCCCATGCACGGCACTCCATGATCTGGTTCCTGCCGGATGGAACCGAACACAAAAGCGGAAACAACCTACCATAGGTAGGTGGTAGAGGTACGTAGAGGTAATTTTCAGCACTCAGCGCGCGCCCTGACATAGGCTCTCTTCAGTGGCACTCCCCCGTCTACCTCAGCCAGGCAATTTCACCCATGCCAATCTCCGTCCATCCGGACCCTGAATTTTTCAATCCCGCCGCGACCACCCCCCCGGCCCTCCGTGCTCCCCCCGAACGCCCGAACCCCCGGAACCCGCTTTTTTTTTTTCTTGCAGCTGGGGTTACTCCAGAGTGCAGAGCAGAGACGGACTGGTCACCGCATCCACGCACTTGGCATACACAGTATCGTAGAAGGGTACTGTAAAGAACAAGGCTGCTGTGCCCCAACAAGACAACATGGGAAAGAAGGGTGGTGGTCGTCTTCTCCAGGCCGCAAAGGCTGCGAAACAAGGTGGTGGTGGTGGCGGTAGCGGTCCACCGGCAAAGAAGCAGAAAAAGAGCCACGGCTCGTCCGCTCACGGCCACGGCCACGGCCCCGCGCAACACCAAAAACAGAAGCAACAATCCACAAAGCCCTCCCGCTCCGCCTCCGCAACCTCCGCAGCCCCGCCCCCGCTCCCCTCTTCTTCTTCCTCGACGTCCAGCTCCACGAACAAGAAGCAACACAAGCAAAAGCAGCATTCCGATCCAACAATACCCTTCAGCCCCGACGAAAACATCCTCCTTGTCGGCGATGGCGACCTTAGCTTCGCCGCCTCCCTGGTCGAGCACCACCGCTGCACCAACCTGACCGCCTCCGTCTACGAAAAGGACCTCGACGAGCTATCCGCGAAATACCCCCACGTGCGCGCCAACGTCGACAAGATCCTCGCCGTGCCTGGCTGCAAGGTTCTCTACAACGTCGACGCGCGGCGCATGGCGCCCTTCGCCCACAAGGCCAAGCCCAAAGACAAGCAGGCGGGCCGGGTCGAGCAGGTCGGCACCATGGACCGCATCATCTTCAACTTCCCGCACGTCGGCGGCAAGTCCACCGACGTCAACCGCCAGGTGCGCTACAACCAGGAGCTGCTGGTCGACTTCTTCAAGCGCTCCTTGCTCTCGCTGGCCCCCGGCGGTTCGGTGATCGTCACCCTGTTCGAGGGCGAGCCCTACACGCTGTGGAACATTAGGGATCTGGCAAGGCACTCGGACCTGGCCGTCGAGAAGAGCTTCAAGTTCCAGGCGAGGGCGTATCCGGGCTATCACCATGCTAGGACGCTCGGGGTCGTCAGGAACAAGAAGGGGGAGGCGGCCGAGGGTGCTTGGAAGGGCGAGGAGAGGCCGGCGAGGAGTTATGTCTTTGTCAGGAAGGATGATGTGCCGAAGCCGCCCGCTCCGGGCATGGGGAAGAAGAGGAAGGCGGAGGAGTCGGATGATGAGGATGAAGAGGAGGGTGATAATGATTGGGGCAGCGGAGAGGATGATTTTGAGGAGGAATTGGATCATGACGCCGAAGGCGAGCAGGATGATGCTGGAGATGCTGCTGACGATAATGAGTGACCGTATCACCAGTTTACTCGCGGAGTGAGGTGCGCACGCCGTACACAGCCCTGGAGTTTATGACGGAATGGATGTGGTCGAAACCCATACGTTGTTATAACCAGGAAGGATGCCGAGCCCCTGACGGGGAACGGGTCACGTTCAAGTTCAGACGTCATCGGGATAGTCGCTTTATAGCGCAGCTCGGTACTACCGTCATTCCAAGTTCAGGATATGGTTTACGAGCTCTGTGGTTTAGGGAGCGATTTGGCACGGGCCTTCAGACGCTTATGAGAAACCGTCCTCCTGCCAGTCCGCGAGATGCTCTGCCTGCTCGATGTAGACTGGCGATTATCGAATGATACGCGAAAAGTATAACGGTGGGTGAAGCATGGTTCAGATCAACCTGCTCAGGCAAGTTCTCTTGAATACCAACTCGTCAACAGCTTTTTGTGATACGGGACAACAGCTTTGTATCCAACGATCACTCCTGGTGGGACTCCGTAATAAACGTGGGCCTATTCTATCCTTGGAAGGAGTCAGGATCGTGCTGCTTGACACACGTAGATATCAATGGTTGTTTCTGGCGGCAGTGCGATACCCCGATTGTTTACCTACCGGTCCTGTCATCTGTACTGTTGCCGATTATGAGCCATCTGAGTCACCCTGAGATCGCTTTGTCGCTATCCCTTGGAGATAGTAAAAGGAAGTTGTTCACAATGAGACCTGATTGCTTCGTTCCAGACTCCGCCACGAGTTCAAGCCTTGTAAATTATGTTGAGCAGCGATAGTGACGTGAGCGGAAGTCTTTCAAGGAAATGATGGTGTGGCATGTCATTGAAGAGCTTCGTAATTCTCGTCAAGTCACAATTTCATCCATACAGTGAACATCGTGGGCATCGGCTGAGCGACTTTAGAATTCAATTGATGCTGAGAGATGGCACTGTTGTTTTCCCAGGACCATCACCACCAACAGAGCGGCATCGGTTCACTCTTCAACCTTCACATGGTCTACGACCAACCCATCTGAGAGCCGGATTCGTCCAGACAACCCTGAAACCCACCAGCACTTCCTGTAAGGTATCGGATAATGTCTGCGGTCAAGCCTGGCGAGTCTTCTCGTCACTCAAAGCGATCATTACCCATTCCATGTGTTTTGAGCTAACCATCTACTCACTGGTACTCATCCCATTCCGAAGAACACATCTATATCCAGCCATCGCCTTCATCACTATGGCCAGGAACAAGCTGCTGGTGTGTAGACAATGCTCTATTACCCCTTTCTGTTCAGGAGACTTCCGCACTTGGCAACTGACGTCGTAAGAGTCATCACAGCTGAGCGATATTGTAAACCTATTTCTCACCACTGCTACGCTAGAGATTTTTTATTTCACGATCCCAGTCTCATCATCCGAGACATATAGCTACACTATTAGTCGAGGAACTGGGCTGGGATGATACTCTCACTCACACAAAACTTTCACAGGCAGTATCCCAGAAGATTCTCATCCCATTCGCACACTCCCGGACCGGCGATCCTTACCCAAGACGCTAGCGATGTGTGTTTTACTTCTCAGATAAATTCTCTTTTCTTCGTTCGTGTGTCCGCTCCCTGTCTCATCTCTCCATTCATTACTTTGCAAAGAAGATGGGTGTTGGCCGTACCACAGACCTACCTTGTTGGTGTTGATCTTCATGTACAAGCGCGAACACCGTGAGAAGTCAAGAACCATTATCCTTGAGCACAAATAAAAGGAGGAGGAAGTCGGACCAAGTTTAATTGTTCACTGACACTTGGAGAGTTTGATGATAATCCTAGTTTGAGGGCCCCAGATAAGCTAGTGACCACCAAAAAAGAGAGGGAGCACTGAAATGGGATAATGAACATGGTTTTATGTACATGTTCTTTTATTTCTTCCTCTTTGTTTTCCCTACGTCTTCACTGTTCTGTTGATATCAGAAGTAGGTTTCATCGGTGACCAACAAGATTTTAATCCTAGTGTACGAAAGTTGGACATGTGCTGTTCAAAGAAACATGGAATTCTTTAACTGCAAAGATATATTCCAGACAGAAGGGCCAATGTTTCGAATTATTTAGATGAGCGTATAAACTGCCACAAAAGAAATCAAATCGCAATTCGGTCCGCTGGCTCAATGGCAGAGCGTCTGACTACGAATCAGGAGGTTCCAGGTTCGACCCCTGGGTGGATCGAGGGTTTATCTCATACAAAATATCTGACCTTTTTGCTTTTACATTTTAGCTTTTGCTTCCTACGAAAATCGAGCCAGAACAAAAGTAATCCAGGACTGAGTGGATTGACATAGATCTGGGTCATATGCCCCATCAATGATCAATATCCGCGTGCACATCATTGGATAATTTGACGAACGAGACTTTCTAACAGGTGTAGCATGGTATAGCAGCACCTTTTACCTCTCAACATGGTAGTTGTTTCACTCTGACTCGGAGTTTATGAACATCAATAAGCGATGGGCCAGCTAGATTTGATACAAAAACAATTTGACTGAAGAACATTGAGCTTTTGATGAATAACCTTCAGTTAAAAGGAGACGTTCTGGAAATGATCATGCGAGCACACTACATTTATATCTGATCGAGAACCCTAGTTCAAGATTAGAATAACGTTAAAGCATCATGGACTCCTGTGTCTAAAGAGCGCACCAAAAGGAGGACCCAAAGTAAAATCGATGTAAAATCTCTTCTTAATCTCGTCACCACTTCCCACCACCATCGCATTTGCCCATCATTGCCTCCCAAAAGTCATCCTCTTCTCGTAGTCCACCATTTTCTACCACGACCTATCAACTTCACCATCAACCTCCGTTCGCATAGCGGGACGGGACGGTCTGCATCCCGTTGCCAGAGTTGACCACTGATCACTGCACTCTGACGAAAGATGTCCCACGAGAAGGAAAACCAAGTAAAGACGAGAAATCATCAAACAAGTCCATTCCTTCCTCTTCCCAAAAGCCACATACTGTATACCTACCTACTCTTCATGGCTCCGACACGCCCCCATCACTTGATGCCCTGCGGAGCATTTTGACAGCCAAGCCACCAAAAGACCTGTCATCTACGGTTTAGGATCAGAACACGATTGATGATGTCGACTGTCGTCCAATTTTTATTTTTTTTTTCATTCGTTTTTGGGGCTTTTTTCTTTTTTACGCTTGCTAGGCAGGCAGTGTCCGTCGATATGATATCTTGGCCAGTGACAAATGCCGTGATCTGGGTGAAAAGAAAAACGTATGGTTTGCAAGAACGAGCAGGTAGGTGGGTGGGCGGGTTCGGAACAACTTACCGGCCGCGAAAAAAGAAAAGAGAAGAAGGAACAGAGAATAGACAAAAAACCTGTACGTACATCAACGGTGTCATGGACAGAAAGCTACCCAAAAAACGCCTCAGTTCATGCTTCCTTGCACACTGCATGAAGCAATCAATCTCCCTTTAGTTTCCTGACAATTTTGGTTAGTAAGGGGTGTATTGTTTGACACCACCACTACCCAACGTTCCGGCCCCCTTGTTCGGGCACGCTTTGGGGAAGCAAACATTGTCGAATTTTGACGCCATATAACGCTTGGGATTGATGACAGTCACTGGAAGCCCAGGAACTGGCACATTGTTGGCAAACTGACTGGTAGAATACCACCCAACCCATGAGAATAGATAATCACTTTCCTTTTACTTCTTTACTTCCGAACCATCATTTCTTCACAAGCGGTCACAAACGCTATTGCAATTGTTCCCTCTCCTGTATCTGTGCGGGTTGTCGTTCGCCCACGTTCAATGACTTGCAAATTCCACTAGTAATTTTAACCTACCGTGTCCTTTCCTGCCTCTCGGAGATACTAGACTGCCCATTCTATCCGAAGCATTCCGCTTCCCCGGCCGGCGGCCAACTGACCGACCGACCGACCGACCGACCGACCGGCTTCCCGAGACGACATCATGACTGACACCGTGACACCAAAAAAGCGAACCCTCGTAGGTAACGTAACTTCCATTTCGGACACAAACTGTGTCGTGTTCCCAAAACACAAGCACAAGCACAAGCTAGTACACTAGGTTCTACTTCAAACCGGCGTCCCAAACCGCCGCGGCATGTATGTATCACCACCGTTGGGCTCTCTCGTGTAGTGTAGTGTAGCTGCCAGACAGTCACTGCCTCTTCGTGAACCTCGGTCTACTTGATCTTTTTTTCACCAGGAGGCCCTCAACTTTAGTCCTCTTTGTCTAACCCACCATTTAGTCTACCCTATTGAGTTAGGTTACCACCCATCTCATCTCAACTACTACTACTTGTATATATACATACCTACCTACCCCCACTGCACCACCCATTTCTCCATGCTTGTGTATCTCGTGTGTACATAGACTCACATAGACTCGCACACACAGTACGATATTGTACTACACGTCCACAAACCCACCACAGTAGCTCACAGTACAGAGAATAGAAAAGGGAACTATAAGAAAGAGGAAAAGGAAAAAAAAAAAAATGACAGATACTCTGCATATACACATCGAGCCCTAGTCAAGATCTGCAAGTAGCCGTTTGCTTCCCTTTTCAATGTGTGGAATGCGGTGCGGCCGCCGGTTGGTGTCGCCGCTTTTGTTGTGATGTGAGTGGTGGTGGTGGTGGTTATGGTGGTAGTTGTGGTCTCCTTCATCTGTCCCTTTCATCACTCGCCATTACATCCACGAGCTCCAAATTCAGCCGCGCCAGATACGGACCTTGGCACCAGGCCCGAGATTTGGGACTGGAAAGACAGGGGGACGGAGTCCGTTTGTACATCACGATGCGGCACTGATGTAGTATTTTCCTCGTGAATGCGTACGAGCAGGTATGTAGGTTGAGCACCACAGAGGCATCTGTTTTGTGCTTCCACCATCTATAGTGCCAGAAAGTAACGCAACTTGACCAAGCGAGGAAACCCGCCTTTATACATCCTTGACTTGTCGTTGACCCCCACACACTCATTCACCGTGATCTTTTTCCAAGTCGTGTACCCTACCCAACCTTCCTCCTTCTTGTCTTGTATCGGTACTGTGGTGACTGTATATGAGTCTCCGCGGTCGTTTGGGATACGAAGGAGTGATGACATAGCACCTCACAAAAGCTGAGAGAGTCCATCCTGCTAGCCAATACCACTGGTCAGAGCCGATCTTTCAGTGAGGACGAGTAGATCAACATGAAGTGGGGGTATGATGCGGATGGCGCTTCCATACGATGAGAGACTCTGTATTCTTCTTTCGACTCCCAGATAGACAGTTAGCTCTTCTTTTGTGTAGGTAGGTAGTGTCAGGGCTTATTATTTATTCAATATCTCTACTTATACCTCTAGGTATTCACCCCACGCCGACTTAACAAACACTGTAGAACACCACACTGACTATCCTCCCCTGTCCCACTTGTGTACAAACGTTAGCCCGTCCAACACAGTCCATGTATCACACTTCCAAAGTAAATTACTTTGTAGTCATGGACAGGCAGTACACACCCACACTTAGGTACCCGTTCATCTTTCAATACCACCGTGTATACACCAACATCAAAATTACCGTTCTATCTCTTCCACACCTCCTAGGTACCCTTTGCTTGGCCCCTCCATCCCTCTCCGTATCCTCGGGGCCCGGGGAGGTAGGTGACGGCTCTCCGCCTTGGTCCTTGAGGCGCCCAACCCACCAATATGTGTACACGGTGGTTATGGTCATGACCCTGCCACTGCTTGCCACGGACCACCACGGGACTGTCCAGAAGCAGACATACGTACATATCCACATAACCTCATACAGCGGTCCTTGTGTCAAGTATAATGTCTTGATGGCTCAGCAGACCTCGGTTCTCATGCAGTGACCCGATGCGCTATACGACGTGAAAGACCGGTGACGCCGGGTGGATTTGGTCGGCTAGTTTGGGCTTTGGGCAAGAGGCCAAAGATGATTGCACTGATGGAGCTTGAGTATTATGGAGAAGGAGTTAGTGATAGTTGATGATGTTCCACATGCAGCTCTTGGGGCCGATCTGGGAAACTTTCGCCTGTCTGCCCGAAGGCTGAGGCATGGGAATGGGTAGGCGAGTTAAGTTAGGCGCAAAAGCTGCGACCGAAGATGGAAGGTTCATTGAAAAGCTCTGCTTTCATGATCATGCTTGGGCGGGGGATGGGTTCATGACAAAGGTTCCAAAAAAAATCATACAAGCCGTATTGATTGGCAAGACTCGTAGAAGCCATACACTGTGTAAACATGAAGGGCAGAAACATGTGGGCACTTGAACAGCAGCAGCAACAAACATGACGACAGCAAGGCATTAAACAAAACATGCGATCAGACAAGCAATATACTAGCTATGCAGAAACTAACAAACGAATTCGACAAGAGGCCACCAACCTAACCAATCCAGAGCCCCGTTTCAAACAACCTTGGGGGGAATAGATCAACTAATAAGCTCACATGCGCCATTGTGTAAACGAATAAGACAGATTGGCCACCCACGCAGCGATGTTGTACTTGGAAAAGAGCAAACTTTGTGTGGCGCCTGGAAAAAAGCAAAGACTCAAGAGACGCGATAAAAAGGAAGGGTACCACACAAACTGACAAAGAACGATAAACACACCATCAGCCGCCGAGTCCTAAACTCGCAGACAAATAACGCACAACCTCCGGCTTTTTGAACGCTGGAATTGCAAACAGAAAAACAAGAAAAGTGATAACGCGAATCCGGATGAAGAGAGATTCAATCAGGAGGAACAGGCCCCTTGTTCTGTTCCATATCGACGACCGCAAAAGGTCTCGGGTAAGATGGCACCATGTCTTCCGTATATGTCCTCTCTTTCCTTGCTCTGACCACCACCGTGTACCCTTTTCCACTCCCTATTTCATCCGTCCATATAAGTACCAATCGCTTGGCTATATCAATGTATCGAATCGTGTGTGCGTGTGTGTTGATGCCATATCATGAGAGGTGTATCGAATACATATCAAGATAAATGTATGCATGAGGTGGAAATTACTGCGCCGGCATCAGGAAGGGCGCTGTCCTGTTGACCAGCGTAACATTGCAGAAATATGCCCCTTCCGCCATCTAGGATGCGTAGGAAGATAGGAAACAGTGATGTTGATGGGAATTCCGTCGACTCACGAAAGCAACAATGACAAAAGGGAACCAATCTTGCGCTAGCTAGTTCCGCCTCAGTGCGGCGGTAACCCGCGATTAGATGGATCCATCTTCATGTCACCCGGCAAGCCTCTGGAATCATGATGCATGTAGCTCGGATAGTTTTGCCCATGAGACACAGAACCTTGGCTGACGTTGGGGCCACGGAAAAGACCGTTATTTGTGTGAGGGAGCGTGTCAAACGAGGAGCCCATGTACGGTGGCTGATTCTGACCTATTTGTACCCCCTGATGCGAAACAAAGGTTCCTTGAGGGTGAGGGAGTGACGGGTGCGGCGGCTGTTGAGGCTGTTGACTGGAAGTACCAAAGGAATATATGGTCGCGCTACCTGGAGCTGTTGTAGTCTGCTGCCAAGCACCGGGATACAGCCCGGAGGCAGAAGTGCTTGCGTAGTCGGACGGCGAGCTGAACAGGGACGGTCGACGGCTTGTTTCGTGAGGACTTGGTATCATTTCCTGCATTTGAACAGGCGCTCCGTGCTGCTGCAGAGATGCTTGACCTCCCACCGGAATCCCCCCATTTTCCACATAGTGCTGGTCAGATGTGAGATCTGGCGGCATCAGAGTAGTCGGATATTGATTTCTAATCGACATCTCGCTAACGAAGCCTGGTTGAATGTTGGTAGTCGGGCTGTGGTCAGTTGTCGGGATAGGCATGAGGGCGTGAGGCATAGTTGTCTTGGGAGGCGAGAGTCGGGATGAAATTACCGAAAGATGGTGCTCGTCATCCTCCTCTCTACACGCATCGTCTTCATCGTCGGAGGGGAAGTCTGATTGGTTGTTATCGGCCATGACGTATACGACCGTATCGCCATCTGGTGAGGTTAGCGAATACTCCCCCAGATTTAGCACACCATAAACGTTGTAGCTAACCTATTTCACCCCTCTTATACTGTTCTTCGACCTTAGCAACCTTGAAGATCTCCTTTAAAAAGGGTTTCTTTTTCGCTTGGTTGGGATTGGCCCTGTCGCTGAAGAAGCCTCCCATTGCCTCCATTGTCAACTCCTCCAACTTGGCGACAGTGAGTTCTTGGGCCCGGATGCTCGGATGCTGCTGAGAGTTGGGTTCGACGATGAGTCTCAACAAGTGGCATAACAAACGGAGGCGCTCTGTAATCGTGTTAGGAAGGGTCTTTCAGCTATTTGCACGTGTGGAAATCGCATGAGACAATTGTCTTACCTGGTTTGAATAGGTGGTCCGGCTCCTTGTGCCTCATGCCCTCATCCTTGGTTGGGCCCAGAGGCTTTGGCCACCAGTCGGGAATTTTGGTTCCTGTGTAGGGATGTGTAGACTGCTTCTTTGGTGCAATCGCCTTGATCCACGCTTTGGCAATCAGTTTGCATGTGTTCTGCTGTATCTTCTTGAAGCGCTGGTCATAGAAATCCCACACTTCCTGCGCGTTATTGATTCGTATGCCTTTCTTCGCGGATACGGTCACTGCCGGCTCGTCATCATCGCGGACACGTCTGGGAACGTTGGCCCTCTGGCGCTTTCGGGTCCGATATGTTGGTGGCACGTGATCGTAGAACTGTTCGGCTGTTTCCATGCGGCGGTCACACCCGCGACGCCCATGATACTCTGGTCCGAACGACATCTCATCGTAGGCCCCAGCGAGACCATCTGTAGGTTAAGTTAGTCTTGGTCTGGAACGACCATGTTACGAGATGGCCACTCACTCTCAGCAGCCCGTTTTTGATAGCGGATAAATCGATCCATGTCGAAGTATCTTTGGATTTCACCCTCTGGCAACTTATTCGGTCCCGTAAAGTATACCGTATGACCATCTTCGGTGAGAACAGCAAGGAAGAAGCTCTGGTGGTTTATCTTGCACTGCTCACGCAATACTTCACTAATTGTCTGTATCATTGTCAGCATCGGGTTAGAAAAAAATGAATAGGAGACAATACCTACAGGTGGTGGGGTTCTGATTCCTGTATCGTAATAACGACCATTGTCTGGCATGTGTTCGCCATTAGGTCTCTCCGTCGTCCATTGTGGCCGAGTGTAATGGCCATGCCCGTATGTATTGACCATGGCTGGCACCTCCGTTCGTGAGTTCCGACAAGTACTAATGTTTCGAACAGAGTCGACGTGATCAAGAAAGAGTGACGGCCAAAGTGAAGTTGAGGAACACCAAATCGTTAAGCAGACAAGATGTAATGGCCGGGATGGGTGCTGATTTATTCTTCAATGAGCCTACCAGGCTGGTTGACTGTACAATGAAAACAACAGTCGTCTCAAAGTAAAAAAAAATGGCTGAGACGGAGAATGATCCTTTGAACCAAAACAAAGCTGGCAAGTGTCTCTGGGTGTTGGTGGGATAGATTGTTGATGTTCGGTCGAACCAGTTCTGCCTCGACGTGCAGCTGTGAACCACAAAGTGAGCCAAAGGCTAGAGGACTTGTTTCAAGAGTAGTGGCCAGGCAAGACAGATTCTTCCCCAGTCGTGCAAAGGGACCGGGAACGTGCTGGGACCGGAGACAAGCTGGAACCACTGCCAAACAGAAAGATTGGATGGATCAAGGCTAAGATTAGGTGGATCTATCCAAGCATAGAGACAAAGAATGGCGTCCTTAATGTTAGAGATTGAGCCAGAGGTGTTTGGTAGACTTTGCACAGGTGGAGACAGTCGGATCGTGGCTTCAAACAGAAAGTCAGCTGAGGGCAATCAAAGTGATGAAGTTGATCTTACCAAAGTCTTTGTTTATTGATCAAGACTGAGACAGGCCCGAATGAAGAGCGCAAAATTATCGGATGAATATTGCTCAATATTCCTTTCTGAAATTGTTGGGTCAAAGGATTCAGCGTTGCAAAGCGCGCCCCCTACGTCGAAAAGTAAAGCGATGCGGGAGCTTGACTTGATGCCAGAGATGGGTGCCGGTCTGAGTGGTGATAGCACAAATGCTTTGGCACGCACAAACCCCTTCGAAACAAGTGGCTGGCCTGGCAATGGGGCAAAGAGGAGAGCAAGATGGGAGCAGGACTGCCCCAGTTGATCCTTGCAAGGAGGAATAAAGTGTGGACTCGCGCAGCCGTTTGACAACTTCTGCTTGGTCCTACCAGTGGTTGGTTGAGGTTGGTAGAGACGGGTGCTTGCAACCTTCCGATGGCAACGGCAAGACACAGACAGTGTGGGGATAGCGGGCACCCGGAAGACTCGCCTGGCTATGTTGTTCGAAGACCAGTATGACTATCAGGTTGGTTGGCCTTTGGCTTTCGCACCCTGTTGTCGTGTGGCAATCAGTGCCGTGAATGTCTTGTGTTATTCCGGGGTAGAGCCTCGGTAGGACGGTAAATAAGATTTGTCGGTTCGACCAGGGCAGTGAAGGCGTAGTCCCGGAGATATTGGCGATGACAACGATGGGAAGGCCAAGATGATGACAGCCTGTCTGAGCCACTACCACATCTAGACCAAGATGGACGGACAGGTCGATGCTAACCAAGCGAGAGAGACTGGTTCAACGGCCCGCGTTGTTAGAGCAGGTGTTCCTAGTTCAGGGTGCAAACATGAGAGCTGATGTGTAGGATGGACGGAGATGGGAAACGGGTGGTGTTTAAAGAAAAAGAAAGAGAAACGGTGAGGGGCCTTGAAGTTGTGCTAACCGCCCTAAAGGAGCCACCGAGTAAGGGAAGATGCCCACGTACGAGGAATAAAAAACGAGGATGGCCGAGAGAGGGTCTAGGTAACATCCAGACAGATTATCTTGGCCACTCACGCAGATGAACCGAAGAGGTTCCACCAGAATCAGTTAAGAGTCCACACACACGCACCGAGAACAACACTCGGCACTAACTGCAGGAGGGGAGGTTTGAGACGAAGAATACCGAGGATAAATAACACACAGAACGATTGGTATGTAGATGGACTTGTTTCCTCGTAAAGCCTCGATATTGACCCAAAGTGACGGAGAGGCTGAGTGACTGGACTTGGACCTTTTTACAAAAGGTTGTGTAGTGTCTTTTTTTTGCCCTTTCCCAAAAAGTCTCGTATGAGCGGAAGGCCCGGGCAACGACAATCAGACAGACGAACGAGGAAGACAAGCGAGCAGAAAGCAGTCCCACGAGGAGAGGGACAAGCTGCATGCCTCCCAGGTTCCCAGTCGCGGTAGAGAGAAGTAGTGTAGAGAAGGTCGCGCACTGTGATCTCGAGAAGTGAAGTATGTTTTTCTACCTGATGGCTACGTCAGTACATTACAAGACTATGGGGGAATGAGGGTAGTCTAACTTGCTCCGAAGGTACTATATGCAGTACATCGTCCGTACTCGGTACTGGGCGCATGCAGCATTCAGAGTTATCCTAGACAAGCAGCAAGCATTGGGCATGGTGTTCTCCAGCCCCGCCAGTCCATCTCTAGGTAGTGTTAGTGTATTTGGCGCGCAGTATGGAAGAGTGCCACAAAAAGCCGGCCAACACCACCACGGCACCCTTCCCCTCCCCTTGTTCCACCGCGCCTGTGGCTCGCGTTTGGATAGGCTCATGCTGTGGGCTGGCTGGTAGGACCGCAGTGGTGTACGTGTAGTGTACGCCAAGGGTGTGTGAGATGGGAGGGTTGTATTGATACGGGACCGTGGCAGCAAGCATCAGCACCACTGCACAAGGGAAGACTCTCCATGGATCTTGGCTCGTCTTTTTCCAGACACGGTAGCCGACGCAGGTCGCAGGAGGCAAGCGTCCAAGGTCCAATGGCTAGTGGCTGGGCATCTTGTCCGTCGACCATCTCTCGCCTGTTGCAAGTGTCCTCGCCTCGGGGGATCTCTGTTGCGACAGGGTTGACTACCGGACGCCCGCCGATATGGTTGCTTGACTTGTCCAGGGCTGGTGGGTACTGCGGGGTTGCTTGGTGATGGAGTACCTATTGGCTCTCGTCACGGCGTCATGGTACCAGAGCTGTTATGACCGTGTGGGTAGACCAAGTAGGTTCTGGTATTGATGAGGCCCGGTGGGACTGCTCGCAACCGTCCTGGTGCTGGTACGGCCAGACGCACACAATGAAATTAGCTGAGTGTAGCAACGAAGTGTTCCTGGACATGGATCCATTCTCGACTTGGAGGCTGAACACTTCAATTCCTGTTGCCCGTTATCTTGACTGTACAAATTTCAAGTGCCGAAGCAACTGAAGATGGGGAAACAGCTGAGACAGCATGAGACAAGCAAGGAAAGCAGAACCAAGACACGGCAAGAGAGGAAGAGAGGGGGAATGTCTCTGGCGCGGCTGCCGTCGTCAAACCGAATGCTCCGTCCGTCGTGTCAAGTGGAAGCTGGGATGAGTGTGTCTTGCCGTTGTGGACGGAGATTAAAGCGAGAGGACTACTAGTGTAGGAAGGAAGTGAAGGACTAGACTCAAAATCAGGAGACGCCCGAGGCGAAACGAACTTTCGGGCGACTTCCTCCGCGATGAAGGATGGAAAGAGCGCTTTGCAGCTGCCTGATCTTTGCAAATCCAATTCATAGGTCGTGACTTCCTTTCCCAATCCAAAAGCCCATGCTTGGACCCCTTGTTCAGTTTCCAGAAGAGGAGAAAGAGGGTTGTAGTCGTGAGTGGAGACATGTCCCACTACCTCCTCATTCAGGCCCGCCTGCCTTAACAGCGGGTCCCCGACTTGTTGCTTTTGGTGCGCAAACACCACCGTCATCACTCGCAATCGTTGCATCTCCGGCTTGCCATTGGGAGCGAGCATAGGTTGCCGACAACCGTCCGTCTAATCCAGGCACATCATCAGACAGAATCGATCAAAGTGGGGATTGACACAACCAGGCCCTGGATCATGAAGAATGCTGTCTGAGACTGGAGAAGTTAGAACCCAAGATAGTGGTGTACGTACTGGACCCTGTGCTTGGGTGGATACCATTATGTACTGCGTAGCGCAAACTCCACCCAGATCTCATGCTCCTCATGGACGGGAATTCCGTCGCTACTGTAGGTCCCTCCAACCCCTCAGCTCTCACTACACTACACCTCACTGCTAGAATATCAGGCGGGAATAACTGCCCGCCAGTTGCTTCAATCAAAAACAGCCCACCTTCGTCCACCAACAAGATGATCTAGCACATCATCATCACAGACACACAGAGACACTCGACGTCGTAGTGCTTATAGAAAATGGCAAGCTTCGATGAGCCCGTATCTGTGCTTTTTATGGAGACCTTTATATATACACCACGGCCCATGGTCTTGGCCCCGATCCGATACCTAATTGGACATCTCCCATCATCACCACCACCACCACCAGCGTCCGGAATTCCCAATCACCGACGGGTGGTGGGTGTGCTGCCCCATCCACTTAGCCAAGCTAGCACGCCTCGGTTCTCTAGCTTCATGGCAGGACGATCAGCCACTTCTAGATTGCAGTAGATGGCCCTCCGCTCTATCGCCAAGTCCAAGCTGTATTATGTGACCATCTTCGAGCAAAACATGAGACTGACTGATCTTTCCTTGCAAGGTCCGCCGGGGAGATCTCCCGGACACTGGGACGGAAGCTAACATTATCCCCGTCCACTTTTCGGCGGGGACAATGGCAGAATTCTCCATCTTCAACCCATTGCACGCATCAATTTGCGAATCCCGCCGGCTAGATAGGTAGTCTTGTTACAAGAGAGTCGTGAGAACGCTGGACCTGAAGGGTATCCCGGCTGCCACAGTTCCATCAACTGATACCGTACCCCCGCCCATTTACCCACATCCCGACGTCCTGCCCATGCAATCAACCCCTGTTCAGGACCAGAAAAGATAGAGATTGCGTCTTCTCGGCATGATATCCCACCTCGATTATCGTCGCTCGAAAGCAGGCGCTCCCAATGAGCCGGCAGCTCGTCGAAAATCGGGCTCAATTTCTCAAAGCGGACGCCTTCAGGTCCATCTAGATTCGAGTCTTGTTCAAGCGGCCTAGCAAAAGCTGGTGCGGAAGCACTATCCCTCTTTCCCGGGCGAGTATCGGACCAACTCAAGGCGCTTGAAATAAAAGAAGGGGGACTGGATGCTTTTACTTGTTAAACCACCCATGGCTGCCTATCAGTGGACGGCAGGTCATCAGCCAGTGAAGCATACCTTCAATTATCTCACCGGGTGAGCGACCCGATCGCCATCGATCCTGTAAAGGACTTCTGGACAAGACACAAGATACGCTGTTGATGGACTTGAATGCTGTCCCCCGCTGCTCTGGATCAATCGGCTTATGTCCGGGTGTTTATTACACAGGTCTCTCAAATCAGACCACTTGAACAGGTCCTTGGCTCGATGTTTTGCGCAGGTGAGCAGATATCCTTTGTTGCTGGCACTGCATTGCAGTATATACACGGCTTATACGACAGCACCAGCAGCTGCAATGGTAGGTACATCTTCACCCAAAGCCATGATGGGCCAAAGCCAGGCCAATAGGGGGCTCATGTCACGCCTATGAAAGCCGTCCAGAAGGAAGCCGCTGTCGTACACCATCAATGGGGACCCAGATTCCATCGTTCACAACTTGAACGGTTGACCTGAGATTCGTCATGAAGAAGGTTGCCAATGCCGCAATGCCGAACATGGATTTATGCTCGAAACGAGGAGGAATAGATGGCACATGTTGCCCCACGTCCCTTGACAGCTGTGTTACTTTGCGGTTACAGATATTCCTGTTATTCTCCGCGGTCGAATGGAAAGCCCTTGAGCATACCGGCGGGATATCGTTGGGTCGGGTTGATTCCGTACGCTCGCCAGTTCACCAAGCATCAACTTGCAATTCTTTGGCATGAAAATGTCCCTTGGCCACCTTTCACTTTGTACCTGAGGATTTCGACAAGCAACAATACAGAAGGTCAGTACTGGCCTGGCCTTCGGCATTTATTGCCTTCTGAGGGCGGATCAAGTGAGGTCTTGCCACTCGCACCGTCGCTGTTTGCCGTTCTCACTCGGTTCAAGAGGGAACTCATGACGTGCTTCTGGATACGGGGAGGTGTATCAGATATCCGCGAACATTCTAGCCAGCTAACAGTCTCTAACCAAATCTGCGGCTGCGGTTTTCGTAATGCCAGAGGAGGACTTGAACTTATAGGCGTGAGTCTAATCCAACAGGTAATGCCTTCATCCATGCGTTTCACTGGCTGGTTGGTATACATCGAAATAAACTTTTGTGGGAAGGAACGGGGTCGACAATCTGCTTGCTGATGATCACTGATCAGCACTCGCAATTCAATTCCCCGAGTTCCCTTGCCCCGCCCCGCCCTCATCCTTCAACTTGACATCATGATCGCCAACAAAAATGGAAGTCGCCGTCTTCGCCTTCAATACTTCATCCAGCCCATCCACCCCGAGCAACAAATGCACTTTTCTATCGATTGACATGACACTTTGCACATGTCAGCCAGCCAGCCCGCCCGCCCGCCCAGCACCAACATTGGATGACGCCGCCTTGCAGACGAGACAGGGGACAACCGAAGCGAGACAGGATGAACCACCCACTCCATTCTGGTTCAAGGTGAAGCCAGATTACATACTTTCGTCCAGTCCCCTCCTCCTACATGGCCTTCTGGGGCTCCCGGTCGAGGGGGTCTGCGGCGTAAAGTCAGGTACCCGGACGGCTACCACGGCATCTAGACATAGTACACTACAGTACCTGGAAATCATCCATCATCCCACTTATGAAATGGGGCAATGTCCACATAAGGTACCGTGGATCATGTCAGTGTCCCAGAAAGGCTCCTTCCTGGGTGCAATCGAGGTGCAACGTGCATCCTTCAGGTACGCCTTGGCCATATCTCGCACCCACGGTAGTGCCGCATACCGGAGGCACAGCATCCTCAGAATGTTCTTCCTACCTGAAGCCCGAGTGTGTTGATTGCTCTCTCTTCTGCTTTCAGTAACGCTCTCCTCTTGTCTTTTTGGACATATCCATACCCTATCTACACTTTTCTCATAGGTATGTTAACTTAATGAGGCTAACCAGGGAAATCTGCCCCATCACAAGACAATAACATCACCCATTAACCACCTCGACATCGAAATCCGTGCGCGGGTGCCGTTGCCTTTCAATCGTTGTCTAGAACACGCTGTGTAACCGTCACCGGCATGCGAGGCGGGAGCGTTCGGACAGGTACCCTGTGGGACTCTGCCAAGTCTCCATGGCCCTGGCTGTCATGTCAATGAATCGAGATCCTGCACGGTGGACGAGCGTGGAGCTGGCGGAACACGATGTTGAGAAGGAGATTTCTGAAAGTGACAACCATACCCTCGGAATGACGGTCCTCCCCCTGTCTCGCACTGCCAGTGGTAAGCTACTGGCCAATGAGACGACCACTCGTCCCACCGCGACGGATCAGAACTACTAGTCTGCTGCGAGGCTTCGAATACCGGATTAGTCTGACGACTCGGATGGATTGCAAGTGCAGTTTTACGCAAGACGTCCAGGCCGTTTGTGGGCACCCCAAGAGTTCAACCTCTCTCCACACGGCAACCTCTTTCTCATTCGGTGGACGATTTTGTGGTTGCCTCTGCTTCATCGCCATCACAATCACACAGGGCAATCTCACGGCCAAGTTCTTCCAGATAATTATTCGAAAGAGGCGTCCTGATGTCCTCTTTTTATTGGGCATGTCAAGCTTTTATCCAGCGAATCTGGTCCAAGTTGACGTTGAACTTCATGATGTTTCAGGTAGGCATGATCTGTGAAATGTCGACTTCCCCGACTCTCAAGCCATCATCCCGACCTCCTCCAGATCACACTATTGGACATCGCAGGCTTCGTTACGTTGCGACATTGCTCTCGCAACGCGACTTGCAGAGAAGGTTTCAGCCGTCAGACAACAAGTCGAATCGGGTTACACGGGAACTCCTACATCCATCAACCAAATCACCCATCGGCACAAGTGGGTCATGCCTCTCTGGGCTCTTTTTGCATCGAGACCACCATCATCCAGGTCGGATACGCCAAAATGGGGTCCAATTGATGACATTTCTCTGAGCCACTCTTTATCTAAAACACGGTGGCTGGCGAATGCCTCCTTTCCACCTAAGAAGCAGTGTGAGTTGGTGATCAAATGCTGACTATGGCTTCCATGTCTGCTGTTGTTCTTTGGCAAAGGGTCATCATTCCCGCCTCTTACTAATCGATGGATATATATTTATTGCATGGCCAATCCCACTTACGGAATGGTTCCGCTCTCGCTCCGTTTACGGCCACGTCTTCTCCTGGTGAGACCGATAAAGCCAGGGTCGAGCTTAGAAATAGCTTGCCCTCTTTCTAAATTCGAAAGAGTCGGCCAAGGGCCAATGGGCCAGCAGGAGGCTTCGTCATAGGAACAGCTTTGCGTCGCCTATTGCGCCCGGGTTTTCAAGGTATGCATCAATAGTCCGTGGATGGACCATGGCTTTCCTTCCTATTGCTTGAGTGATAAGCAGCTGATATGTAGTGAGCCCTACGAGCCTGTCACCAATTCTGGTGCACCGGTTTTGAATCGGCTTGACGGCAAGGATGTTTGAATGTCTGGGTCTGCCAGGGGTGTGTGTAACCTAGGACTGCTCACCTATAGGGCGATTGCGCTACAAGTCGGGTCTTCATCCCTGTTTCAACCCCGGATTCTCATATGGTCAGCATGGAAATGGATACCATTTCGCTAACAGTTTTCTCTCCAGGTTGACGGCATATGCCTGGACCTTTGAATGGCTCTTTCCCTGCTCAGACTATTCACGTATCATGAAGGATGTCCCATAAACGGTCAACAGCCAGTCCATCCTTTCCCCTTCTCTCGCTTTAACCTGATCTCATTGCTTTTTCTCTCCCGTGCCATGTCGGCGATGCGGCGGGACGAGTTTGGTCTACCGTGACCCTCCTCTCACCGCGCACAGTAAGCGCTGTGTCTTGGTGGGCAAATATTATGGCAATAATGTCTTGTCATGCGCTCTCTTATTGGTAACGAAATGATAACATGGACATCTAGCCAATCTGAACTTCCAACCCACTCTGTTGTGGTGGGATTCCTTCCGGTCGTGGTAGGATTGATGGCTTCGATAGACCATCAATATCATGTCCCGCACCTCCTTTTGCTTCCTGTTTATCTCACTCGAAATGCGAATCACAGAAGAAGCTGGAAACCCCCAAACAATAGAGTTTTCTGCATGGATTGTAACATTATCACATCTTTTATATTCTTGGAACTCTTTCTTTCATCACCTCCATTGGGGGTATCCCAATGTGCAAAGATATTTGATATCGGGTGCGGTACCCGGAAAAGGTACTGTATTTTTGACAGCGGGTGGCTTTGGTGCAACTCTCTCAGTCATTCTGCTTTGATGCGCATCTGTGACCAAGTTTCCTCCCTTACTATCACCTCCATAACCTTTCACGCACTCAACACCGCCTGTTCTTATCGTCACCGACAACATCCGGTGGTAACTGTCTGATCGATGCTACCTTGATTTTGCCGGTTCTGGCAGCGCGTCATTTATGTATCACCCCGTTTATATTCGGTGATGAAGCTTCTGTTACGACATCACCCTCAATATGTTGCACAATACAATCAATCACGGCATGCATCCTACTTCTTGAGTTCCATGGAAACATGAGCGTCCAACATGGTGTTATCTCAAAGAATGAGGTTCACCCCAAACCTCACACTTCACCACAATACCCTATAACAGAACTTGTTATACTTTCAACACCGTATTTGTGGTAGAAAGATAGTATCGAGATACTCCATGGCCATACATATTCGTAGCCATACATGAGCGTGCCGTGCTATGCCACACGAGTGCTTACCGCCTGGTCTACATGTTGGCTTGTCCCGATCAATTGCATGATACCGTCGTTTTTCCGGTGTCGAGGTCGCAGAATCTACGTCTTTGGTCGAAAGCAGTAAGGAGAATATAAGTAATATGCACCTGAGCTTACCGTCTGTTCTGATTTGTGTATGAAGCCAAGGTGATAACGAGAGACAGACTTCGTTCAGGCCTTGTCCCTGACAATCCTTCAAGCCGTCACGAGTTGTGTCGCACAAGATAGCGCCAACATATTGATTGCCCAACAGCTAAGTAGCAGCAGAGGCATTTTGATCTTTTCAAAACGCTTATCCACCTCCTGATTCCCCAAGATTCTCATGTCAAGAACCATCTAACCCATCGGCTACAATTATGCACCCTTCGTCTTACCACACCATCATATCACAATCACGATTATTATGACAAACCAACGTCCTCGATTCACCTATCATTTGGACGAAAATAATGCTACCACAACCCACCACTCTCTTTTGTACTTCATCGTCTCTTACAGTTCCATGCGTTCCCATTTGCCTCAATTCTTTCCTTCTTACCCACTTCAGTGGTTTTCTTGAGCGGAAAAAAACCCCGCCCTCCACCTCCATAACATCTCCAGCAGAGATAGCTCTAACGAGAAATGTATTTAGTGCTTACCTTACATTGTGTGGGAACTAAGCCAATAATACAGGCCAGTTGCCAAGCATCTTTAATCTCACACACACACACTTGCTGCTTTCTCCCTTCTACTATGTGGAATCACGGTGGGATTCTATTAGTTACATCGACAGCAGGTACTCGTCAGGTAGGTCTTCAAAATCGCGGACACCGAACCCGAATCAGAAGAAGACGGCTCATGATCGTCATTCACTGTTCTATGTCTGCCCATCGACGACACCACTAGCACTCGCATAGTCGCATTCCCGAGTGACCGACTTGAGCGGCGAGTTCTAGAACCTCGCTCCTCGAAACCGTGAATCGAGCGCCTAAGTGGCGAATAAGTATGCCATCTGAACCGTACCAATTTCTCACGTACATCACTTCCTGTTGTTAATCCATCCAACAGGCGTTTGAATAGTTAGCCGTAGATAGCCGCTTCAGTATTTTCAGAACAATCAATCTGAACTTCATGATCCACTTTTCCATTATCAACGGTGTCGACGATCCATTAACCCAAACCCTTCATACAACCAACAATGCTTCCGATCCATGAAGAACATTGAAACACGCCCGTACTAAAATCTGATACCCAAGCTAAGGATCCTGTCGGTTTGGTGCCTATTGCACCTTTACCACCCATGACTCCATTCACTATTCCTGCCACTGCTACCTCCCCCTACCTAACCCGGGATTATCAGGACTGCCTGTCCATGTCAAGTCAAGGTATTCACCAACCTCAATTTCTCAAAGCAGCTTCTTTCTCACTACGTGGAACCAACAAGCCAGGCAGCGAGGCAGGTACAGGATAACTATGAACCAAAAACCGCAATCCCTCCCCTTTCTGTCCCCTTCCGCTTCCACCGCTTCCTCCGCTCCCTGTCCGAAGTAATCAATAGGTCTCCCTATAACAGGCCTCAATCAGCCTCCCTAAGAGCTAAGGTAAGGTAATCATCATCCTGCCCCCCGAACCCCCCGAATGCCAACGACCCAAATCCATATCCATGTCTTCTGCCTGTCTGTCTGCCTGCCTACCTATCCAATTATCCAGCACTGTACATACATTCCACTTATGCCCAGAGGAAAGGAACAACCTTCCCTACCTCTTACCTGGTTTTGATTAATGAATGTCCTATCACTCACTATCACTCACTACCACTCCCTCCCTAACTCTATGTACCGACCCCAAAGTCCCAACCCCTAACGAAAGCCGAACTCCCTGCAGTACTACTAATCTACCTAGCAAGACTCCCTGCAGTAATTTAGACTACTTCAGATCTACTAATCTACCTACAAAAAACTACAAATATACAATTGGCCTTACTCCGATAAGCTTGTTGGTTACCCTATTATCCGTGCCCCAACTGTGCAATCTGGAAGAATCCCGTCTAAGAGGAACGTGATGATTGAATGAAATGTGATGAAGAAAAAAAAAAAACGGCACAGCCTGCAGATGATCGTGATCACGGGATTCCTTGGTCTCTCTCTCTCTCTCTCTCTCTCTTCGTCTGTCTTGTCCACCCCGTCCCAACTTTCGGTTGTAGGCCTTGAGCCGTGCAGGGGGGAATGGTAAATTACGGTTCGTCTGACAGTTCGTCGGATAGTTCGGGGTCATGGTTCGGGGGGAGATGTTCTTTAATGGTAGAAAGCGATTCTCAATTGAAATTCAGATGCGTCGGTGGGTTCAGTCAGTGGTTTGCTGGGTCCCTAGGTACATACAGTATGTACATATGTGGTTTAGGGAAGGGAAGGAGAGTGTGTGGCTTGTCCGCCGTGATCCGGACTCCGAGGGTTTGGAAAATGTGAATGTGATAAGGGTGAGGTAAGGTGAGGTAGGTAATACCGGATTACGGGTATTGATGCTGGGTGTTGGGTGAGTGGGTTTTTTGCCACAACACTATTATTAATATGGATTATTATCACCGCTGATGTTGGATTCAACGGGGTCAGTGGTGTTGTTGCTTGATGTGTTGGGTTTAGTACTATATGAAGCTGGAATACCTCTAATGCCTACCGCCACAGACCCACTCTGCTGTCTAACTAATATTATCAAACTGTCGTGGTCAATTTAGTGCTATTCTCACTCGATTAATCGGTTTGATGCGCTGTGAGCTGGAATAACGTCCGCCATCAAAGACCATACCGAGTGATACTCAAGCAACATACATTGGCAGCTTCATATTTGGCTGTCAACATGTCATCATGATTTCATGCAATACACTTTTTACTACATATACAAATTCGCTTTTGGCCCATCCTTCCATTCATCCTGTCATATCCGTCCTTGCTTTCGTAACCATCAGTTCCAATTGCTACCCATCACGCCATTCCATGCTTTCTTTGACCAACACTTGTTTTATCTATCCAACACTACACCATGAACATCACAAGAAGTTTTGTATAGTGACTGGCTTCATTCGTCGCATTGCGACGTGCTACTGTCGCTCTTACTCCACCTCCCGACTTGGCGCTGCTATGCTTTCGGAGGTGGAAAGAACGACCAATCACCTTCGGCTCGCAACGACGTCGACGAAGAAGATGGTGTTAATGTCAGCGACAAAGAGTCATAATCCGATGACTGCCATGATGAAGCTTCTCACTCCAACACCTCGTTGAGCAGACCAGCTTCCTTGACAAGTCCATGGAAGATGCCACGCTTCTTGATCAGCTCCTTCGGCGTGTCGAACTCGGCTACCTCACCCTTGTCGAGCACGACCACACGGTCGCTGTCAAGGATGGTGTTGATACGGTGCGCGACTGTGATAATGGTACGGTTGGCGAACAGGTGGCTGCGCAGCGTCTGCTGGAGCAGCGCGTCCGTCTGCACGTCCACGGCCGCCGTGGCCTCGTCGAGAACCAAGATGTTGGATGGAGTGAGCAGGGCTCGG